CAGAATGATAATCCATAGCCACATGTGGTTATTGAGGACTTGAAATGTGGCTAGTCTGAATTGAGATGTGCTGTAAGTATAAAATACCAGATTTTTAAAAATTATTAGATTTTTAAAAATTATTACAAAAAAGAACATAAAAAATCTTTAATTTTCTTATATATTGATCATATTTTGAAATAATATTTTGGATAAATATGGTTAAGTAAAACATATTCTCAAAATTAATTTTTCTTATTTCTTTTTCAAATGTGGCTACTAGAAAATTAAAAGTTATATTTGTGGACCACGTATTTCTATTGGGCAGTGCTACCTTAACTGATTGATTAGCTCAGCTGGTTAGAATAAAGAATCAGTAAGCAAGTCATGAGCTTTGTTCTCTTCAGCCACAGAAGGTACCCCAAACTCTAGCTTGCAGTGTTGCCGATAGTGTTTGCTTGGACTTAGTGAAAGCTCTATTGGTAATTTACTAGCTCTGTGACCTCTGGCACAAATTACTTGTCTGTGCTTCAGTTTCATTATCTATAAAATAGTGATGATAACAGTAGTGCCTAGGTAATTTGATTTTTATAAGGAATCAATGAGATTATAAAAATAGCACCTAGCATAGATTAAATGCTTAATAATTGTTAGCTATTTTTAATATTATTAGCATAGTGCCTGGCTCATAATTGATGCTTATTAAATATTTGATTGATTGATAGCGTAGTAGTTATTAAAGTTTGTATATTCTTACATGCCTTATATCATTGATTTTTTATGACATTCTTGAAGAAAGGTGATATTCCTATTTTATAGATTGAGAAACTTAGACTAAGAGAAGTTTGATAACTTTCTTAAGTCACACAGCTAGAAAGTAGAGCCAAGAGTGAAAAACTAGGTGTTTCTATCCCAAATCCCATATTTTTTGCACCACAGCCTACTCCCTTCTAAATGTGAGTTGTTTGTCATAGGGGAACTGATTGAGAGTTTGTTGATTGATTGAGTTTGTTTAGGACTGGAGTTAGATCTACACAAGGTCAACATTGGACTGATCAGATATTCTATGTTAATCTCCAGCATTCTCGCTTTCATTTATTCATCATCATTCAACGAATATTTTTTCAGGACCTACTATGTGTCAGGTGGCTTTCTTGGTGGTAGGGATACAATAATAAACAAATCGAAGACATTTTTAAGTGGAGCTTATGTTTCTAGTAGGGAAGATATCACATAAATAGGTATACAAATAATGTATGTTATGTCAGATGGTAAGAATGCTGCACTGACCAATAAGATAAGATGAAGGGATAGACAGTGATGTAGGAGTGGAGGGAGCTAGGGAGGGCCTCTCTGATTTTCTGATGAGGTGACATTTGGGCAGAGACAGTGAAGTAAGGGATCCAGTCGTATGGAAATCTGGATGAAGACCATTGAAGGCAGAGAGAACAGCAGATGAAAAGGCCCAGAAGTGGGAGCATGCTTAGAGTGTTTGAGGAACAGCAAGGAAGCCTACATGGCTGAAACAGGATGAGCAATGTAGAAAGTGGTAGAAGATGAACGGAGCTGGGAGCCAGATAATGTAAGACCTTGGTGAGGTCTGGCTTTAATTTTGCGTGACTTAGGAAGCCATTGGAGGGTTTTGAGTAGATCTAGCTTACGTTTTAAAAGGTTTGTTATGGCTGTCCTGTGGAAAATCCATTGTAGAGGGTCAAGGGCAGAAGCAGTGAGACCAGTTAGGAAATTGTTAGAATAGTTCAGGCAGGACATGCTGGTGGCTTGGACTGGGGTGATTACAGAGGATATATTTGGATATATTTTGAAGATAGACAAGAGACAAGGATGACCTCAAGATTTTTGGCGAGAGCAACTGGGAGAAAGAAATTGCCTTTTCCTGAGAGAGAGAAGCCTGAGGGAAGAGTAGAGTAGGCTGGGTAGGTGGTAAGGAGACGGGTAGCGTGCTGGTAGAAATAAAGAATTTGATTTTGACATGCTATGCTATGATACTTACTGGGTATTCAACTGGAGATTTGTGTAGGCAGATATATGACTGATGTTTGGGGAGAGATCTGGGCGGGAAATATAACTTTGGGAATGGTCAGCGTAGCGATGGTGTTGTAAGCTGTCAAATGCTGTTCACAGGTTCAATGAGAGCTTGTATTTATATTCTAGGAAAGGAGTTTGGATCTATGTTTTTCCTTTTTCAAATGTGCTGATGTAAACTGACAGGATTTTAACTTCTCATTCTTTTTTCAGTTAACAGAAGATGAAATAGCTACAATATTACAATCAACACTTAAAGGACTGGAATACCTTCATTTTATGAGAAAAATACACCGAGATATCAAGGCAGGAAATATTTTGCTAAATACAGAAGGACATGCAAAACTTGCAGATTTTGGGGTAGCAGGTCAACTTACAGTAAGTAAAAATGTTACTTGCATTGGTAACTTTCAGCTCTGTCCTGAGAAGGAATTCCTTATATTTATTTAAAAAATATAATACTTGATTTAATTGTATCAGTAAAAAAAGTACGGAATGTACCATTAGTTTGCAAAAGAGCTGATAGGTTATTTTAGATCCTTTCCTGGGTTCAGGTCCTACAGTTTGTTTAACGTTGATGAAAATAAAAGCTAAAACAAGAAATGATGGAGTAGAAGCTTTAATTCTATTGGGCTACATATCATATTTCTAAAAGGAAGAAAAATTAAATCCAAACTGCTTTCCTTGAATAAGACATAGCGTCATCTCATTCAGCCTCCAGGGAGCAGTTGGTGGTTACTTTACTGAAAACACTCTGCTCATTTGGTTCCAGGATACAGTCTCTTGATTCTCCTCCTACCTCACTAGTGCATGGCAATGAAAAAAATCGTGTTTTCAAAACAGGAAGTCTAGAATTATCTGATATTGTAAAATACATAAGTATATATGAAATATGTGTAGAAAAATAGAAACAATTCTGGACAGATATATACTAAAATTTGCAATAGTATTATATATCAAACAGTTTTCTTGGGTGGTAGAATATATATATATATATATATATATATATATTTGTTTGTTTGTTTAAAGAGGTTGTATTATGTATAGTTTTAATTTTTTTACTTTTGGTGAGGAAGATTAGCCCTGAGCTGACATCTGGTGCCAATGCTCCTCTTTTTGTTAAGGAAGATTGGCCCTGGGCTAACATCTGTGTCCATCTTCCTCTACTTTATATGTGGGACGCCTGCCACAGCATGGCTTGATAAGCAGTGCATAGGTCCATGCCCGGGATCTGAGCCTGCGAACCCCAGGCCACCTAAGTGGAGTGTGTAAACTTAACCACTACGCCACCATGCTGGCCCCAATTTTTTTTAATTTTAAATCTACCTGGAACATGTTAGGGAGTTTCATAGATATTGTAATAGCACAAAAATTGCTTTGATGTTAAAAAAAAAATCAGAAACTTATTCCATATTGTGATTTGTGGGCCTTCAGAATATTTTTTTGTTAACACATAAATAAATAGTACCAAACAATAGTATCTAAATTACAATCTTAATAAGGAAACCAAATTGAAAAAAATATCCTTCTGGTGCTGTATAAAAGATATTATAATTAAGAATGTCAGTTGCATTTAGTAATAATTTTAGTAATTGACATTTTTCACAGAAATAGAAAAAATAATCCTAATGTTCGTACGGAACCACAAAAGACCCTGAATAGCCAAAGCAATCCTGAGAAAGAAGAACAAAGCTGGAGGCATCACGCTTCCTCATTTCAGACTATGTTACAAGGCTCAAGTAATCAGAACAGTGTGGTAGTGGCAGAAGAACAGACCCATAGACCAGTGGAACAGAATCAAGAGCCCAGAAATGAACCTGTGCTTCTATGGTCAACTAGTATTTGACAAGGGAGCCAAGAATACTCAATGGGGAAAGGATGGTCTCTCCAATAAATGTTCTTGGGAAAGCTAGATATGCATATGCAAAAGAATGAAATTGGACCCCATCTTATACCACTCACAAAAATTAACTCAAATGGATTAAAGACCTAAATGTAAGAAAACTGAAACTGAAAAACTCCTAGGAGAAAACATAGGGAAAAAGCTCCTTGACTGTGGTCTTGGCAATGATTTTTTGAATATGACACTAAAACCACAAGCAACAAAAGCAAAAATAAACAGTGAGACTCCATTGAGATTCTGGTTGAGACTGTGTTGAATTGTAAATCACTTTGGAAAATATTGCCATTTTAATGACATTAAGTCTTCCAGTACATGCACACAAGATGTCTTTCTGTTTATTTAGATCTTCTTTAATTTCTTTCAGCAATGGTTTTAATTTTCAGTATACAAGTCTTGCATTTATTTGGTTAAATTTATTCCTTAGTAGTTTATTCTTTTTGATGCTATTTTAAATGAAATTGCTTTCTTTATTTTCAGATTGCTCATTGCTAGTATATAGGGTTACAGTTGATTTTTCTATATTGTATCCTGCAACCTTGCTGAACCAACTTGCTTATTGATTCTGTTTTTTTTTTTCCGCAGTGAACAAGCATTGTTTTGCTAAAGAGAAAAATGAGATTTTTTTTCCTACTAAAATAAAGTGAGACTGTAGTATAGGATGATCTGGCTGGACTGTTTTTTTGGGAAACCTCCAATGCTACTACGTTTAGGTTCCTCTGGTGCTACTAACTTTAGATTTCCTCTCTAGTCTCTTGCTCAGAGGCTGTAGGCCTTGTTGTCTGCCTTCAGGGAAGAGGTGGTCATGGTGAGCGTTGTTTCGGCGTTTAGCATATACATGCTCACTTACTGTTCCTGATTCACACAATCCTACCCACACTCTGCTGTCTAGAGATCCTCGGTTTCATCCTCCAGAGAATACACAGGCATTCTAATAATGCCAGGGTGGGGCAAGGGAAGCCCAAAAGTTGCTTGAAGGGAGAGGTGGGTCTAGGGCTCTGCTTCTTAAAGAGCTTTCAACCCAGTCTTCCTGTTTTTAATCTCACTTTCACCCCTCTTCTAGATCCCTGCTGCCACCAGTTTCTAAGCCTTTTGAAGGGGTTGGTGTTAAAATCAGATTGTTTCTTGGCTTCCCCAGCGACTGACTCAGGATTCCATTTTCACGGTCTGTTCAGTCAGTTACCACTAGTCCATCTGCTTTCCAGCTTCCAAAATTTTGTGGCTGTGATTTTATTTTTTGTTCTTGTGAACTTATTCCTCAAAAACATCCTTTTAGTGTCTTGAGTGGGTTTTGGGAGGGAGCAAAGTAAAATGTATTTGTTTAGTCTGTCATCTTTACCTAGAAATCTGCAGTATTGTTTCTGATGGCAGCATGGGTATTTCATTGTATGGATGTACCATGATTTATTCAATTCAGTCCCTAGAGTTGGACATTGGGTGCCTGTTTGGGTTGCTTATAGTTTTCCCACCATCATAAACATAAACTCTCTGATAAACATCCTTGCAACTAAACTTTTCAGCATTTCCTTCAGTATATCCTTAGGATAATTTCTTAACACTGGAATCTGGGTCAGAAAACGTATGAAATTTTAAGCCTTTTGATGCATATTGCCAAAGTCCTTCTAGAAGGGAACAATTTATGCTTTTAACTGTAATGTATAAATGTGTCCATTTTTCCTCATATTTGCCAATACTGAATGGACAATAAATTATATCTTTCTTATCATTTTCAAAGCAATTAAATATTTTTACATTTGATTATTGGCCATTTATAATTATTCTTTTGTAAATTAACTGTTCATCTTATTTGTCAATTTTTCTAATTGTGTTGAACCTTTTAAAAAATCTATTTGTTAAAAAAGATAAACCAAAACTAAAAGAAATTTATATGTTACAATTGTTAATCCTTTGTCATATATGTTGAAACATCTTTTCCCAGTTTGCTAGTTGTCTTTTTATTTTGATTACTATTATTTTTTTAAATATAGAAGTTTCCAAATTTTTTATGGAGAAATCCATCTATCTTTTATCTTATGGTTTCTACCTTTGATATCATGATTTAGAAGTCTTTTCCTGCTTCAACATTATACAACTGTACATATATACTTTCTTTTAGTACTTTTTGGGTTTTGTTCTTTATCTTGCAATTTTAAACCTATTTGAATTTATTTTGGTGAAAGTATGGGGTAGGATAAATATATATATATGCTATAGTCTGTTTCTGGACTTAATATTTCTCCATTGCTATGCTACTGTACTAATATAACTTTGTAATACAGATCTCGTTGGGTTAGTATCCACTCATTGCTCTTAATTAAAAAAATTTCTAGCTATCCAAATACCCATTTCTAATTGAAATAATCCTGCGAAAACAACTTTGACTACCACCATTTGAAAACACCCCTACAAATTTGAAGTTTACGAGCTAAGGAAATGACTAAGCAGTAAGTTATTTCCTGTGTTAATTTTTGACATAGAACTGACAAAGTCGGATCGATTTAAAAATGTTACCTGTCATTTGCTCCTGACTGGTAAAACACAGCTTAAGCCACAGGCGATTCAGAAGGAACATGGGTGTTGATGACGGAAAGTCCTATAGCATATTTAGTTCTGTTTAAAATCCTTCTCTTCCTAAAATACAGGAACATCTAGGAAGGTTCTCTTTCAGTAGGGCCATGCCATTTCGGGAAAGTATGCAGGTAGTTATTTGCCCATGTGTATTATATCCATATATTATTCTTTAAGCCCCAAACTAAGACTTTTTATGTATCTTTTCTATATATAGAGAAATATATATATAATTTTTCTTCTGATTGCACATGTAAACCATCCAAGTGTTACAGAAGTATAAGGGATGGACAGTAAAAGTCCTAAGGGATTCTACCTTCTAGATTTAACTATTGTTAATAGTTTGGTATGTATTACTTGAGCTGTTTTTTTGCTATGCATAAAATAATTTTTATTATTGGTTGTTTTATTATTATGATCATTCTTCTTTTACAAAAACAAGGTTATATTGTATATAATTTTGCAACCTAATTTTTTTGCTTCACAATATATTGTGTACATTTTTTCCATGATGGAAAAATGTATCTTCTTTTTTTTTTTAATGTGGCATTTTGTTGTATGGATATTTATTGTATTGATCTTAGCCCCTTTAGATGGTCATTTCGGTTATTTCCTGTTTTCTTCTTTTTTCGTCCCTTGTATTACAAATATTTCTACAATACTTGTGCATGTATCTTGGGGCACTTATGCATAGGATAAATTTCTAGAAATAGAAAATTTAGATTTATACATAGGGTAAATTTCTAGAAATAGGATGAAAAGATATGGACATTTAAGTTTAATAAATATTGCAAAATGCCTACTAAAAAGTTGAACCAATTTATATCCAGTAACACTGTATTTCAGTTCCTGATTTTCTCTGCTATTATCAACACTAGTTATATAAATCTTTGTCAATCTTATTTTAGTTTGTATTTTAATGATTGAGAATCTTTTATGTTTCTAGGTTATTTGAATCTCTTTTGAGACTTGTTTGATCATGCCTTGAATGTGGTTTTTATTTGTATTTCAAGGACAAGGTATTTCTTATTGTTGGAAAAGTTTCTTTTTCTCAGTAATTTTAATGCTTAATATTGATATTTCCCCTTTCTATTGTAGGATACTATGGCCAAGCGAAATACAGTGATAGGAACACCATTTTGGATGGCTCCAGAAGTGATTCAGGAAATTGGGTACAACTGTGTGGCAGACATCTGGTCATTGGGAATAACTGCCATAGAAATGGCTGAAGGGAAGCCCCCGTATGCAGATATCCATCCAATGAGGGTAAGGAAATGGATAGAAAACCAGGGGGGTGATTAGTTACTCGTCATCATTAGAAAGTTCCTTAAATGGCTTACTTGGTTAGGTACCAAACAGCAAATGAATTAATTGTGTATAATTGATAAATGTTAGTCTAGCCTCCAAATGATATACTTCCACCAATTGTAGTTGTAGGCACTAATTAATTCAAATCTACCCCTCTCCATTCCAGAGGTTGTGCATTGATAGCCCTCTGGCAGGAGGGCCACAGAAATGGTTAGTTTGACTTGTGCAGTATATATATTTTTAATAGTTTAGGTGCTCACATTTTAACATAACAACGTTAACTAGAGCTGAGTGAGGGTCCTCTCCTTTACACAGGGCATGGGCTTTCCACTTTATCAGTCTCCACAATTCCCTCTTCACCAAGTATCAGTTGTCACTTATTGCAGTGTTTTCTCTAGTTTTTCTTTGAGTAGTATTAAGAGGAAAGCAAACTATTTTTTGAACTCATGTCACTAACACCCAGCCTGGTTCATCTGTTGCCTTTTTCCTGCCTGGCCCTTATAGGTGTTTGAATTGGTAAGTTCTGGTTTGTGGATACCCACACTCTCTTCATCTAGAGGCTCTGTACTTTTCAACCTCCATCTACTTCTAGAGTGTTAAGGGCCTATAGACTCAGTTTCCACTGAAACTTGCTCAGTGTGACACCCTGAAGGGTTTCCAGGCTTTACCCACCCCCAGAGCCCTTCATCACAGCACTCTTATAAGACCTCAGCCCTGCCTTCCTCAGGGGCTCTGTAGTCCTCTCCCTACCTTCCAACCCTAGCTCCTCCTCTTCTCTGATGAATGAGTTCTTCTATTAAAAGACTTAACAGTTTTTTAAAAAGTATTCATGTGCCCAAAGATAAGCTCGCCTCACTTTTGGAAAGCAGAAGTAGGGAAGGGTGGGAGGATTTACTGGTTATATTTTTAGATTTAAAGAATATAATTTAAGCTACTATTGCAAAGAATTTTATTTTTTAAAAAACTGTGGCTCTTCTTTTATTGGAAGCTCGACAAGTAATAGTTTTGTTTTTTTGAAACAGTAGAATTTAACTGCAACGTCATGAGCCAACTTTTTCCAAGTAGTATGTTAGATTGGTTTTGGTTGGAGGTTAATGAATCCTTTGTGATTTGGGGGACTTCTGGGTTTATGATCTCTCGGTCACTGCTTATACCCAGTGGTGGTGGTAACTTTTAGGGAGGAGGGAAATTTGATAACAATGGGGCTGAGGTTATCTTCAGGATATTGACACTCTTAGGGCTTGCCTTTTCACTTTGAAGGGCAATGTACTATGGTTAGGAAAACCCCAAAAAAGCTTGATGGATATTGTGAGGTTCAGAGACAAGAGCACATATGAAAGAGGGAGAGGGAGAGGACAGGGAGGGGCAACGGGGAGAGAGAGCGAGCTGTATCAGGTTCTCTAATTGTCATACCTCCTACTTTGAGATACTTAGAGTTTTGTTGGAATTTGGATGGGCTTATGAGTGGATAAGAGAAAAATCATTTTATCAAGCTTCAAATGTATTTCTAGTTATATTTTTATTGGAGCGTGAATCACTTTTATTTTACCAAATCTTTTTTCTTTAACTAGGCAATCTTCATGATTCCTACAAACCCTCCTCCCACATTCCGAAGGCCAGAACTGTGGTCAAATAACTTCATGGATTTTGTGAAGCAGTGTCTTGTAAAGAGCCCTCAGCAGAGAGCCACGGCCACTCAACTCCTACAGGTATGAGTCACCCTGAGATGCTGCCTCTCTCTGTTCCATTCACATGCTGACCAAAGATGCTGTTACCCCAACTACATGGAGATAGTAAAGAAGTATAAGACATTCCCTCCTCTAGGGAGGTTTGAATCTAAATGAGCAGAAAAGACATGGAAAAGAATGTTAAATCATTGAACAAGTTAGTAATACAAGAAAATACAGGGTTCAATGGGATTAGAGAATGGGAATTGATATTTAGTGAGAAGCTGCTGGGTGCTGGGTGCTTTGCACATGTTATGCCACTTAATCTTCACATGGACCCTGTGAGGGATGGGTATTATTTCACTTTTATGGGTGAGAAAATGGAGGCTTAGAGAGATTAACTCATTTAGAGTCACTCAGCTGGTAAATAGCACAGCTGAGATTAGAACCTAGGTCTTTCTGACTCCAAGGTAGGAGTGCCATCAAGTCCACCCAATTTTGACAAAGAACTGAGCTTAGTGGAAGGTACTCATGATGGGAGGAGGCCGCTTTGGACTGGAGGAGGTCACCTCTGTGCCTGGACCTTGAAGGCTGGGTGGGATTTGGCAGGCAGTAAGGTGCGTCAATTCTGGAGTCAGACTGCCCAAGTTTGAATCCTGGCTCCCTGTTTACTAGCTTTAGGACCTTGGGCAAGTAACTTAACCTTTCTGGTCCCTTAGTTTTCTTATCTATTAAATGGATAAAGTACCTGCCTCATATGTTGTGAAGATTAAGTGATATAATATGTGTAGCTTTGAACAATGCTTTACTCACGTTGAAGATAGTGTCATACGGATTTGACAAATATCTGCTGTTATTATTGGGCTAGGTCAATGGTTTTCAACCATGTCAGACCCAATGCCCTCTTTTTATAACCAATATACCTATTTTTAACACTCTCATTACTGTTCTGGAATGAAACTCATAGACAATAAAATCCATTTATGCCCATAATTTAAAAGAATCAATAGAATATCTGTGATATAATGGAGAAATGTAAAGATAATTATTTATTTAATTAATTAATTTATTTATTTTTGTGAGGAAGATCAGCCCTGAGCTAACATCCATGCCAATCCTCCTCTTTTTGCTGAGGAAGACTGGCCCTGGGCTAACATCTGTGCCCATCTTCCTCCACTTTATATGGGACGCCGCCGCAGCATCGCCTGACAAGCGGTGCGTTGGTGCACGCCCGGGATCCGAACCTGAGCCGCCCGCAGCGGAGCGTGAGCACTTAACCACTACGCCACGGGGCCGGCCCCTAAAGATAATAATTTATAATAAAACAGTATGTGTGTTGGTATAGAAATGCTCCAGCTTGACTGCACTTGCAGACATAAGAAGTTATACACCTGTAACTAGCATCATGAACGAGTTTAGATGTAAGAGCAGTAGGAAGAACAAACCATTCCATTCAGGAAACACAGGAAAAGGAATGGGTGGACACCAGCATACCACTGATGTTACATAACAACAGACCAGACTTATTTGTATATGATAAGAGAAGGGAAATGAACTTATAGGCTTTCCAAGTGGAGAGAACAAGGAAACATGATATTCTTGCAAATGAGCTAGGTCTTATTTCTTAGTGGCAAATTGTTTTTCTGCTTGGGTACTGCTGAAGTTTTATGGAGAAGAAATCTCTTGTATTGTGATCCTACCACATGTTGAGGCATACTTTCAATCTCTACTTACAAAGACCTTGGAGACCATATACTTTGATAGATGGTGGAGTATAGAGAATGGATTGCAAAGAGGACACTGGGGACGATATCAGAGTAAGTTTGGAAAACAACAGGCACCCCCCCAAAAGAATTTCCATCTGTAACTTGCATAGCATAGATTTCTTATCATTGTGCTATAAATACAAACAATAAAAATGTCAGATGGGGGGCCGGCCCCGTGGCGTAGCGGTTAAGTGTGCACACTCTACTGCTGGCAGCCCAGGTTCGCATCCCAGGTGCGCACCTACACACCGCACTTTAGGCCATGCTGTGGCGGCGTCCCGTATAAAGTGGAGGAAGATGGGCACGGATGTTAGCCCAGGGCCAGTCTTCCTCGGCAAAAAGAGGAGGATTGGCATGGATGTTAGCTCAGGGCTGATCTTCCTCAAAAAAAAAAAAAAATGTCAGATGGTATTAATATTAAAAACTTTAAAGTCATTTTTATAAATGAAATTTAGCAGTATCCCTGTGTTTCAAGTGTCTTTGCTGATTGAATAATATTTGGGCCTACATCTGTTACGTATTTGTGATCAGTTTTAGTATTTCTGCAATAACTACACTTTTGCACTAAAATCCTTTTTACGTGAATATGTAGTTGGAAATGCTATAGTACATTGAATAGAATGTATAAACAGGATGAGTAAATTATTCAGTGGTTTCTAAACAGTATCTTTATTCCATGTAAGTCTTCTCTCCAAATTCACCTCCCAAATTACTGGAATTTTTCTTATCTCTTTAAAGAAACTTTTGGTATTATTTATTAAAGTGTATATATACTCGGAGACATTTGAAAGATGCACAGCATGTGCCACTGTTCGTTATTGTACAGGACTCTTCCACGCTTTGCAGGATTGCTCAAGTCCCTGCCTCCCCTCCTCTATGCCATTGTGTTCTCTAAAGATTGTAACAAGCTCCCAACACGTTTACAAACTTCCTCTAGGGGGTGGTATGACCCTGTTGTGAATGTCTTGATTTGACAGAGAGAAAGGGAGGAGACACTCCAGCCAGGCCGAAAAAGATCGGCAAAGCCTGAACGTGCATCTACTCAGAGTTGTAAAATAAGTGTGGTTTAGCTGTTGTCCTGAATATAAAGAGAAAGATTAGATTCATTGATTGACTCAACACATGTTATCAAGTACCTACTGTGTGCCTGGCACTGTTTTGCACTGGTGCCATATAAACTGTCTCTGTTGTTTTCCACGTTGTTGAAGCACCCATTTGTCAAGAGTGCCAAAGGAGTGTCAATACTGCGGGACTTAATTAATGAAGCCATGGATGTGAAACTGAAACGCCAGGAATCCCAGCAACGGGAGGTGGATCAGGACGATGAAGAAAACTCAGTGAGTGGCAGGCATTGCTGTGGGCCTGAGGTGTTAGTGCTTGTTATTTCATGATTGCCCAGTCAGGTAAGACGAGTAGGAGATGTTGGATCAGCCTGGAGCTGGAGACTCTTACATGATTATGTCCTGTCCTGGACCAGGGCTTGCAGAGGCTTGCTGAATCTGTGCGTGTTCTTTTCACAGTGTTTCCTAAGACACTTTCAAATTTTATTCTTTGGCTCCGTATTGTTTATTCAGTTTAACTTTTTATTCAGGAAAAGAGAATGCTCAGGTCTGAGACTTGGTTTTTCTGTGCTCTTTTGGGGAATCTAGGATCCATACTGAATATGTAGATTTTACACTTATAGACTCCCTCACAACCCTGAGATTCCACGGGTGCTCAGCTCGGTTGCTTACATCTGTGTTGAAAACTCTGTTAAGGCGAGAAGGGGAGGGGAATATGCTGCTCTCACATAGGTAAATTTATGATCTTCTTTGGTTAAATAAGAGTGCTCTCTCTCAGTTCTACAAAGTAGGTTTAGAACCTGAATAAGTGTGAAATCCAGAAATATTTGCACCAAAATGAGTAATGGTAATTCAGAAAACTTAAAATCTTTTGATCAAATTAGCTCCAATTTGAGATTTTGTCCTTGTACAGGAGGAGGATGAAATGGATTCTGGCACGATGGTTCGAGCAGCAGGTGATGAGATGGGCACTGTCCGAGTAGCCAGCACCATGAGTGATGGAGCCAATACTATGATTGAGCACGATGACACATTGCCGTCACAGCTGGGCACCATGGTGATCAATGCGGAGGACGAGGAAGAGGAAGGGACTATGAAAAGTAAGGCTCTGGTTAAATATGCTGACTTCTCAGACAGACAGACACGTTCCAGAGAAAACAGGTTCTCAGGGTTCACATAGGATCTGTCTGGAGGGCCTCTTCTGTTGCCACAACCACAGGAGGAATGTGGCAGGGCGGGGGTTTGGGGAGGGGAAAGCTGGCGCGTGGAGGCAGAGGCAAGAGAGCATCAGCAATGAGAAGGGACTTACTTTTAAACCTGAATGGCCATTCTCTCAATGAGTGTCATTTTTTCCTTCTTTTCCTTGATCCGTGGAGGCAAGCACATACATTGTTTTGATGCATAATTCAAAATGTAATGAAATTCTGAGTCATTTACTGTATATATCTTCAGTCTATTTTCATGATACTCTGTATCTAACCCAGGATTACCATTACTCAGTCAGTCTATTAAGGATGACTACAAATTTAAAAGTCCTATCAGGGCCCGGACCCGTGGCTTGGCGGTTAAGTGCGCGCGCTCTGCTGCTGGCGGCCCGGGTTCGGATCCCGGGTGCGCACCGCTTCTCTGGCCATGCTGAGGCGGCGTCCCACATACAGCAACTAGAAGGCTGTGCAACTATGACATGCAACTATCTACTGGGGCTTTGGGGAAAAAGGAGGAGGATTGGCAATAGATGTTAGCTCAGAGCCGGTCTTCCTCAGCTAAAAGAGGAGGATTAGCATGGATGTTAGCTCAGGGCTGATCTTTCTCACACACACAAAAATAAATAAATAAAAGTCCTATCAAATCCCTTCTAGTTTAAACCCACCTCTGCTGCCTTTCTTATCCTATTGATCCTTTTTGCCTCTGATTGAGGCCTAACACCTGTGCTCAGCTCCCATCTTAGAGTGCCACCGCCTCCTCTCCTCTCCAGTTGTTTCCCTTGCTCTTACTGTGTGCATTATAGACCACCTCACAGAGAAAGGGAATGTGGGAGTACAAAATGATAATAAGTAAGTTGTGTACGTGCAGTTTAGCCTGAACTTTATTTAGGTTTAAAGCATTAAGTCTCTATGATCTTTTCATCTCCCTTTTTTTTTTCCTTCCTTTTTTAGCATGTAAAGTTCCTTCCTCTAGACCAGGGATTGGCAAACTATGGTCCACAGCCCTACCACCTGGTTTTGGCAATAAAGTTTTATTGGAACGTAGCCATGTCCATTCATTTACATATTGTCTGTGACTGCTTTTGCCCTACAAAGGCAGAGTTGAGTAGTTGTGACTAAGGCCATTTGGCCCCCAACGCCTGAAATGTTTGCTGTCTGATACTTTACAGACAGAAAAAATTCTCTAACCCCTGCTCTAGACCCGCTGCTTTCTGATTAATTCAATTAAAAAATTTTTCTTCAGTGCCTACTGTATCCCAGGTACTTTGCTAGATGCTGAGGATACAGCGGGGAATGAAGAAACAGCCCTTGCCCTGAAGGAACTCATTGTCTAGTGTGGGGACAGACCACCTACACTTTGGTGTATGAAATGAGGTCTAAAATAGAGGTAATCCGAGGGTGTTGTGGAAGCAGAATAGAAGAGCATTTAATTTAGACTGGGGATTACTAGAAAATTCCTGGAGGAAAAAGGCAGGAAGGTTGGCGGTGAGTAGGGTGGGTGGAGATGTTCCAGCAGAGGGAGCAGTGTACACAAAGTCTACGAGGCCAGGAGCAAGGTGGAAGAGTCCAGGGGAACTGCAGCTGGTTTGTGGTGGCCAGACAGAAAGTTCTAGGGCTGTGGTTCTCAGGCAGTCCACTCTAGTTTGCACCTTTCAGGTCTATGTATTTATAATCAGCCCTTTGTTTTTGAAGGGAAAAAGTTTTCTCTTTTCTTTTTCTGTTTTGGGGCCAAGGCTCATCATCTGTGTTTGGCTTATGGTCAGAATTATAGAGCTGGTGACAGAGTAGTAATACTATTGATGGATGTGTAAATTGGTGTAACTTTTCTGGAATGTAGTGTGTATCAAGAGTTTCTTCTGGTCAGAATTATAGAGCTGGTGACAGAGTAGTAATACTATTGATGGATGTAATTGGTGTAACTTTTCTGGAATGTAGTGTGTATCAAGAGTTTAAAAAGTTCAAACTTTTGACCCAGTAAATTCCACTTCTAGGAATCTGGTCCGAGAAAATAATTGAAGATATCAACAAACTATATTCAAGAATTTTTCCAAATGTGTGTAATTGTTAAAAAAAAAACTTGATTAACTTAAGTGTTTAATAGCAGATGACTGGTCAGATAAATCATGATACATCTATAGGATGGAATACTGTACTATACAAAAACATTGGAAATCCTGTTTTTGAGAAATACTTAGTGAGTTGGGGAAATGCTTATGATATGTTACTGAGTGAAAAAAGAAGGAATCAGAGTTATAGCATGATTCCAGTTTTACAAAAGTCAAAAAATATGTTAACATGTGCAAAGAAAAAAGATGGAAATAAACAAAAGTCTGGAGGGACATAAATCAAATGTTAAAAGTAGTTATTAGTGGGGGGCTGGCCTGGTGGCATAACGGTTAAGTATGTGTGCTCCGCTTCGGTGGCCCGCTTCGCAGGTTCATATCCCGGGCACAGACTGGCGCACCGCTTGTCAAGTCACGCTGCGGCAGGTGTCCCATGTAAAGGAGAGGAAGATGAGCACAGATGTTCGCCCAGGGCCAATCTTCCTCAGCAAAAAGAGGAGGATTGGCAACAGATGTTAGCTCAGGGCTAATCTTCCTCACAAACACACACACAAATTACCTATTGTTATTGGTAATAGGATTATAGATATTTTAAATTTTATTTTCCAAATTATTAGTTATTATCAGAAAAAGAAGATCCCACCAGAAATACTGTTGATGTCATAATGTGTCCTGTAAATTAGGACTTTGAACTCTGCATTAGCTTAAGAATCCTTTTATTTCTCCCTTCTTCCTCTCACTGTTTTTTTTTTGTGTGTGTGTGAGGAAGAGTATCCCTGAGCTAATACCTATTGCCAGTCCTCCTCTTTTTTGCTGAGGAGGATTGGCCCTGGGTTAACGTCCGTGCCCACATTCCTCTACCTTATGTGGGACGCCTGCCACAGCATGGCTTGATAAGTGGTGCCTAGGTCAGTGCCTGGGATCCAAACCTGCAAACCCCGGGCCGCTGAAGCGGAGCGCATGAACTTAACCACTACACCACTGGGCCGGGCCCTCTGTCACTGTTTTTTATGACCTTAAAAATGGATATTTGGGGGCCGGCCCGGTGGCATAGCGGTTAAGTGCATGTGCCCCGCTTCGGTAGCCCGGGGTTTGCAGGTTCGGATCTCGGGCGCGCACCAACGCACCACTTATCAAGCCATGCTGTGGCGGCGTCCCATATAAAGTAGAAGAAGGTGGGCACAGATATTAGCCCAGGGCCAATCTTCCTTAGCAAAAAGAGGAGGATTGGCAATGGATGTTAGCTCAGGGCTAATCTTCTTCACACACACACAAAAAATGGATATTTGCAGAGAGTTTATAAAAACTCCCTGCTAGTCTCTTTAAATGCTTATTTCATTCAGTGTTCTTATGGTATGTTTCATCTCCTAAACTTGGGATCGAAGCACCCTAGATATATTGTGTGGTGTTACATAAATTATCAAGTGAATGCTATGTACGAAATTTAGTTTTTCTTTCTTTCTAAGTAGCGGGTGTGATTTGTTAGGAAGTAGTGAGCTGCTGACCTCTAGTTCTTTTCATTGACTCTGAGTGCTGTATTTTCTGCTTATTTTAAGGGCTTTAATTATGCAGATGATTATAATTGCCGTGTAATATAACTAGGTTGACCTGTTACCATGTGTTGTGCATGCATGTGTTGTGGAAAACCTGCCTTTTTTATTTAAAGAATTAATTTTGTTCCGAATGTAATTTTCATATTTCAAGTGCGAATTAATTCAATGGGTTGTTTGTTCAGTTTCTGAGCTTGGACAGTTTTAGCATGTCTAATGAAAAACAGGCATCTTTTATTACAGTCATGATGAAAACCATTTAAAAACCTCAGCCGTCACAGCCGAGTGACATTAAATAAACTCTGTTCACAATCTGCTGCAGGTCTCGCAATTCAATTTTTGGGTCACAAATTTGACAGATTTGCCACTTATTTTGAGATCTTTACCCCTTATTGTTTTAGGAGTTATTTAAACTTTTCATTATGGAAAATTAAAACATATACACAATTACACAGAATAATATCATGACCCAACGGACTTATCGTCCAGTTTCAAAAGTGATTAACTCACTGCCCATCATATTTCAGCGAACCTCCCAAAAAAAGAAAATAACGGACTAAACTAATTTAAAGCAAATCTCAGACATCTTATCATTTCTTCAGAACTGATTTTTAAACATTTAAAGGAGACTTGCTGACTAAGCCTGGCTCAGAGTGTATCTGTGTTGTGTTGGATAATTCTCTTTCCTTTTATGGGCTTCAGTGCCCTAATCAGTAAAATTAAAGAATTATTAAGCTTATTTATTTTCCTTGTCTCTTACAGCTCTAATACTCCACACATTTGTAAAAATTACATAACTCATGACTAATATAGAACTGAAGTTTCTACCAGTTTAAATTTGTGAAAATAAATAGGCTTTCATCTGGTGCCTTCTTTGAACTTCTATGAAATGTTTAATCCTTGAAAATTAAAATTATAACTGTTACCCTTTATAAACTTAACAAGAAAAGACATACGTACTATTATATTGTTTGCATTAGTTTCGTAGAATCTGATTTTAGTTTCTAATTTTAAAGAAACTTTAACATGAAAATGGGAAGACTCTTGCATTCATAATTTATGTTTAGGGCATCTAGGTCAGAAACTTTTCTGAACTTTTTAATACACTTTTTGACAATTGACTGTATTTTACAGATTTAGAAAAATGTGTTCCTTGTCTTAGAAAAGTTACATATTTCATTTGCCTCTATTCTCATTTACTGTATTAAAAATTATAGGAGCAGTATTATAGCAATATTGATGCAGTTAAAAAGGAAGTAGTTCATCCTCTTGCTTGAACAAA